TCTATGTCCCTCATCAGGCAGTGCCCCTGGCTGCCCGCTCTCAGGACTGAACTCTGGGTCTGGGTATCTGTATCAATTGTTTCCCCTTCTCCATCCCTGGAAGGGTGTGGCTGTATCGCATCTGGAATCTATATATCCCCTTCCCCACAGCTTCATCCTTATGCCTTGAAAGTACCCCAGACCTCCCCATTAAAGACATGAGACATAAACAGTGATTATTAAGTTTATGTCTTGCTGGGTTACAGATCAAATGGCCTTTGTGACTTGTGTGATGCATCTGTGGTCTTGGATATCCAGAATGTTGATCCTGTTTCACTGTAGTTAGAAACCCCAGGAGGCTGGCAGGTTCCCATCGTGGGAAGTGAGAATTCAGCTTGGGGGGAAGGGCTCCGAGAATCCCAGAGTCTTCTGGTTGAAGCTTCTCGGTTCCTCCTCAGTTTCCCAGCTCGTTTTGAGGGCGGGTCAGAGTTTGAGATCATGTCTGGTAGCTCAGACAGACTGTAAAGAATCTGCCTGCAATGCAGGAGACCTGGACTCGATCCCTGGGTTGGGACGATCCCCTGGAGAAGGGACTGGCAACCCACTCCATCTTCTCGCCTGGAGAGTTCCCTGGACAGAAGAGCCTGGTGGGCTACAGTCCATGGGGTCATAAAGAGTCGGATGTGGCTGGGTGACTAGCACTTTCACTCTTAGATGAATGGAAATGATTTATTTGTGGGTTGAGATGAAGCCAGTTTCTTTTGAAATTCCTATTGGAGGCACCTTTTATCTCTTCAGTTGGGAAAGTGTTCGGGGGCATCTAGGTAACCCGGTTATTAAAAGCATATTGTGTAAGTTGGTAATTGCCACAGAAATGCCATGCAACAATATATCTCCAGTCTCAGGGGTTGAAAACAAGTAGCATTTGTTCCTCTCGTGAGCCTGTGGGTCTGCCATTCATGTTAACCTTCCTGAACAGTTTTGGTTTTGTAGTTTCCCTCACGTGCCCCGGGTTTGATGGTCTGTCCGATGGATGATCAGTGGTCTTGGCTGGAGAGATTGGATGATTGGGCTTTCTCCACATGCCTCTAGTCTGCAAAACACTAGCCTGGGCAGGTTTCCATGGGGCTAGAGAGTTACAAGTGGAAATGCGTGGTATCTCTCGAGACCTGGGCTGTCCTTTTGCTGTGTTCTGTTGGATGAAAGCAAGGCCCAGGGGCCGCCCAAGAACCGGGCTTGGGGAAGCAGACCCTACTCAGCGAGAGGAGCCGCTGTCAGGGCGGAAGGCACGGACCCAGAGAGGCGTGGAGAACCGACACCCTCTTCTAACCCGCCGTAGCACGACAGGAAAATGGGAGCCAGCTAGTCTCCGCCTTCTCTGTACCTGCAGCACACGCAGGGTACTTTGGTTGTCTACGTGGGCTGTAAAGCCAGTCCCACGCTGAGCAGCCTCAAACAACGACCCACTTGCGGTTTCCCGTAATCCTGTACCAGGCTGGACTATTCTCCTCTCTCGATGTTGCCAGGGGCTGCGGTCATCTGAGAAATGACCACGCTGGAGTGTCCAGGGTGGCTCCTTTGTGGGCCTGGCATGTGGGCCTGGTGTCAGCCGTGTACCCGCCTCGGGCCCCCGCCACGTTGCTGTGCTGCCTGGGGCTCGGGGACCTGGTTCCCACACTCGGGAAGGGAGAGCTGTGCTCAGGGGCCCCCCAGAGCTGCCTCCTGCAGCGTTTCAGGATCAGAGGTGGTTGCTAAGTCTCCTGGGCTTTGAGGGTAGGGGACAGGCTTGTGGTATGTGTGTGCAGGGGGGAGGGGTGGTGTGGGGTGAGCTCCCTAGGGGAGATGCTGAAGCCTACAAAAAGAACCCTTGTTCCCAAGCATGGGGTCCTGCAGCGGTTGGGTGGGTGGGGGCTTCCTATTGTCCGGAAGCCCTGAGGAGGCCGTCCTGGGGGAGTCGAAGGAATCCCCCCTGCACCAGGGGAGCCAGTTCTGAGAGACCTCTGGCCAGGCCCCTGTTCTCTGTCCTGCCCCTAGTTTGCCAAGAACGTGGGTTACCTTCAACTGCTCCCCTAGTCAATTTCAGGACAGTGCTTCATTGCTTTTGCATGTTTAGCAACTGTTATCCCCCAGAGGACTTACTTTTGACTTGAAGGGGGAATTGCATATTTCCCAGGGTCAAGAAATTTGACTTTAGGAAAAAATAATGTCTGAGGTTCCAAGTTGGTCATCTTCTTGGACAACCAAGCTCCTCCTGTTCTTGGGACTTGCAGCCACCTGGGGGATGGACTCCACCCCACCCACCCCACCCCCAAGCATTAGGGCTTCCCCGGTGGCTCAGAGGTAAAGACTCCACCTACCAAGGCATTGAGACCTAGGAGACACAAGTGTAATCCCTGGGTCTGAAAGATCCCCTGAAGAAGGAAACGGCAGCCCATCCCAGTATTCTTGCTTGGGAAATCCTGTGGACAGAAGAGCCTGGTGGGCTGCAGTCCATGGGGTCACAGAGAGCCAGACATGACTGAGTGACTCACGCACCCCCAAGCATGCAGACCTGAGGATGAAGGCATCCCACGAGAGGCCGAGCTCCCCGGCAGCCCCCCAGAGTGATGTGTCTGAAAGCAAACTTGGAAGTTCGCTTTTGTGTGTCTTCCTGTCATCAAGCTGCTTGTTTTCATTCCAAAGTTTGCTACTGCTCAGAGGCAGAGGCCTGATTTACGAAAAAGAAAACACACAACATTAAGAGTTAATCAAAGAGTGATGCCACCTAAAAACATAGATTAGAAAAAGTTGTTTTCAGGGCCAGAAAAGAACCGATAGACCTACAGAGAGCCCAGGGCTGATTGGGGAAATGGTGCCTGGAGCCCTGGGGAAGGGTCCCGAGGATGGGCGAGGTTCCCCTTGGGATCAGCTATGTGGCCAGGAATGGAGGGGGCCTCGAGTGGGTGGTGGGTGGCTGCTGGGAAGAAGTACCACTGCCCTTCTCTCCTCCCGCCCCCTGAGCTCCAGATGGTGTCTTATTGGTCGGACTTGATTGGGCCCAGAAGGCAAGGGCGCCCAGCTGAGGTCGTCTGTAGGGGTCAACCCTAGGGGGCACCAGCAAGGTGGAGCGGGGTAGTGGAGAGTGGTTCTGGTGTGGGAGGGCAGAAAAGAACCGCAACATGCTGGCTTATAATCTGAAGAAAGGAATATCCTGGGTGAAGTATTTATCCCTAGAATATTGGTATCTTAAAACTTAATTCATCTTTAGTACGTTAAATTATCTTCAGAATACAGGGTGAAACCTGTTAATTATGTCAAACTGAAGATCCTGTTGGGTCTTGGTGTCAGGCCAGTCTGACCTGAATCCTGGCGCTGTTTCTTATTAACCACGTGATCTTGGAGAAGTTAGTGACTTCCCTGGGTGTCCACGGGCTTCGCCGGTGGCACAGTGGTAAAGAATCTGCCTGCCAGTGCAGGAGATGCAGGAGACAAGGGGTTTGGTCCCTGGGTTGGGAGGATCCCCTGGAGGAGAGCATGAAAACCCACTCCAGTATTCTTGCCTGGAGACTCCCATGGACAGAGCTGCCTGGCAGGCTACAGTCCGTGAGGTCTCAAAGAGTCAGACATGACTGAGCACACACGTACACACTGGGTGTCCACATTCCCGACTGGTTGATGAGAATGTGCACACTCAGAGTGGTGGTTAGGGTTCAGTGAGGCAATGGCCCTGGAGCCCTGAGCCCTAAAGCCTCGGCGGCTCATGCATTCAGTGACCAGTAGCTGTGCTTTTTATTAGGTGCCAATTATGAAGCTTTGGAGAAGGAACTGACACCCCACTCCAATATTCTTGCTGGGAAAATCCCACAGACAGAGGAGCCTGGCGGGCTACAGTCTGTCCATAGAGTTTCGAAGAGTCAGACATGTCTGAGCACTTGAGCAGTTATGCAGCTTATAGATGTGTTTCTGTTCAGTTGCTCAGGCACGTCTGGCTCTTTGTCACCCCACGGACTGCAGCACGCCAGGCTTCCCTGTCCTTCACCATCTCCCGGAACTTGCTTAAACTCATGCCCATTGAGTCAGTGATACCATCCAACCATCTCATCCTCTGTTACCCCTCCTCCTCCTGTCTTCAGTCTTTCCCAGCATCAGGGTCTTTTCCAGTGAGTTGGCTCTTTGCATTAGGTGGCCAAAGTACAGGTGTGTAGATGGTATTAGTTTGGGTAGAAACGTCAGAGTCCAATTCTGTCAATATAATAGAAAATACCATTTTGGGGGTCTCATTTCTTCCTTCACGCATAGACGCTGCTCATGTAAAATGATGTGTATCAACTGAATTTGACTTGGATTTTGGGGAGCTTGACGTTTTAGGGTTATGGGGATTAAAACTAAGTGATATTCCCAACATAAGAGAAGTCGGGTTTCTAGTCACTTCATCCACTGTTCACATCTAAAGGCAAACATCTGAGGAGACCTTCACTGCTCACCTAAAACTGTCACAACATTGTTAATCATTGTGTGTGTCCGGTCATGTCCGACTCTTTGCGACCCTGTGGACTGTAGCCCGCCAGGCTACTCCATGGGATTATCCCGGCAAGAATACTGGAGTGGGAAGCCATTTCCTCCTCCAGGGGACCTTTCTGACCCAGGGATCGGACGAACTTATGTCTCCTGCGTCTCCTGATTCTTTACCACCTGGGAAGCCCCGTTACTCAGCTATTGGTGGTGGTGTTGAGTTGCTTAGTCGTGTCCTACTCTTTGCGACCCCGTGGACTGCAGCACACCAGGCTTCCCTGTCCTTCCTCATTGGCTATACTCCAATACAAAAGAAAAGTTTTTTTTTTGTTCTTGTTTTGTTTTTAATAAAAGCAAACGTTTAATGCAGAGCCGGGATTTCTTCACTGTTGTGTGTGTGCTGTGTTCAGTCCTGGGGGAAAATGGAACACCGATACATGGTCGCTTACTGCTGTCTGTGTCTGCCCTTTGTGTCTCCTAGCTGCCTCGGATGCTGAGTGAATGGTAGCCGCGCTGGCCTCCTGAAGGTCATGATTCAGACTGTCCCAGACCCAGCAGCTCATATCAAGGTAGGTTCCATCCTGGCCATGAAACTGCCCTGACTTCCCCCTTGACTGGATTTTCACAGACCTCTGCCCACCTCTCAGTGAGTGCCAGGGTCCGCCGTCCACAGCTGTGCGCCAAACCCAGTCCACTGTGTTTTTCCACAGCTCGGGAGCTAAGAAAACGCCTTTCACATTTTTAAATGGAAAAAATCAAAAGAATATTTCACAGTGCATGTAAATGACAGGAAATTTAGGTCTCATTGTGCAAAAGGAGTGTTCTCCTGGGCTCTAGCCACGCTCATTTCCATGCTGTCGGGGGCTGTTTCCACGCTGTCATGGCCGAGTTGAGTCCTTCCAACTTGGAGACCATATGGGCGGCAAAGCTGACAGTATTTACTATCTGGTTCTTTGCAGGGAAGGAGAGCTGACCCCTGAGTTAACATCGAAAACCACATCCAAAATTCTCTGACTTCTGTTCTAATTCCATCTCCTGGGGAGACGCTTCCTGGGGTTACCTGGGGAGAGACGGGAGGGGCGGGGGGGCCTGGGTTTCCAGCGCTCAGCCTCTGTGTTATCGGGGCGCCCCGACACTTCAGCAGCTCGTCACGCACGCCTGCCCCCCTCCTCTGCCCACTGACAGCGCTTCCGAGGGCCCTGGAGGTGAGAGAACTGGGGGGCTGAGGCTCGAGCCAAGGCAAGTCCCCACGAGGAAGCCGGCCTGTTCCTTTCAGGGCTCCGCGTCCACGTGGTTGCAGCCACCGGGAGGAAATGAAGTGATGGTTTTCATATACTTGACCCAAATAAAAGTTACACAGAATGTTGGGGCTTGAGCTACATCAGCCAGATAGGCTGTCTGCACCTGCGCTGGTTGGTTCAGCTGTCTGCGCTGGCCCAGCTCACTCACTGCCTTGCCAGTTCTTGACTTTCCCCATATAAATTCATTTCCCCAAGTGGCCTGGTCGGTTTTTTTTTTTTTAATACTAATTTTTACTCTTTACCTGAAACATTTATTGAAAATCGAGTGGCTTATAAAGGAGAAAGTTTATGGTATTGAACAGTTTTACCATTTTGGGGTGGGGTTGCTAAAACATAAAACACCCTCCGAAGTGGCATGTGCACACACACATTTACATATACACGTGCATTTTATTTATTTATTTATTTTTTTTTGCTTTTTAAATTTTTTTTCTTTTACAACTTTATTTGTGTCAAGCTACAAAGAATCTTTTTATGTTTTTTTTCCTTTTATTTTTTATTTTTATTTTTTCCATTTATTTTTATTAGTTGGAGGCTAATTACTTTACATCATTGCAGTGGTTTTTGTCATACATTGAAATGAATTAGCCATGGATTTACATGTATTCCCCATCCCGGTCCCACCTCCCACCTCCCTCTCCACCCGATCCCTCTGGGTCTTCCCAGTGCACCAGGCCCGAGCACTTGTCTCATGCACCCAACCTGGGCTGGTGATCTGTTTCACCCTAGATAATATACGTGTTTCGATGCTGTTCTCTTGAAACATCCCACCCTCGCCTTCTCCCACAGAGTCCACAAGTCTGTTCTATACATCGGAGTCTCTTTTTCTGTTTTGCATATAGGGTTATCGTTACCATCTTTCTAAATTCCATATATATGTGTTAGTATGCTGTAATGTTCTTTATCTTTCTGGCTTACTTCGCTCTGTATAATGGGCTCCAGTTTCATCCATCTCATTAGAACTGATTCAAATGAATTCTTTTTAATGGCTGAGTAATATTCCATGGTGTATATGTACCACAGCTTCCTCATCCATTGGTCTGCTGATGGGCATCTAGGCTGCTTCCATGTCCTGGCTATTATAAACAGTGCTGTGATGAACATTGGGGTGCACGTGTCTCTTTCAGATCTGGTTTCCTCGGTGTGTATGCCCAGAAGTGGGATTGCTGGGTCATATGGCAGTTCTATTTCCAGCTTTTTAAGAAATCTCCACACTGTTTTCCATAGTGGCTGTACTAATTTGCATTCCCACCAACAGTGTAAGAGGGTTCCCTTTTCTCCACACCCTCTCCAGCATTTATTGCTTGTAGACTTTTGGATAGCAGCCATCCTGACTGGCGTATAATGGTACCTCATTGTGGTTTTGATTTGCATTTCTCTGATAATGAGTGATGTTGAGCATCTTTTCATGTGTTTTTTTGCCATCTGTATGTCTTCCTTGGAGAAATGTCTATTTAGTTCTTTGGCCCATTTTTTGATTGGGTCATTTATTTTTCTGGAGTTGAGCTGGAGGAGTTGCTTGTATATTTTTGAGATTAATCCTTTGTCTGTTGCTTCGTTTGCTATTATTTTCTCCCAATCTGAGGGCTGTCTTTTCACCTTGCTTATAGTTTCCTTTGTTGTGCAAAAGCTTTTAAGTTTCATTAGGTCCCATTTGTTTATTTTTGCTTTTGTTTCTAAAATTCTGGGATGTGGGTCATAGAGGATCCTGCTGTGATTTATGTCGGAGAGTGTTTTGCCTATGTTCTCCTCTAGGAGTTTTATAGTTTCTGGTCTTACATTTAGATCTTTAATCCATTTTGAGTTTATTTTTGTGTATGGTGTTAGAAAGTGTTCTAGTTTCATTCTTTTACAGGTGGTTGACCAGTTTTCCCAGCACCACTTGTTAAAGAGGATGTCTTTTTTCCATTGTATATCCTTGCCTCCTTTGTCGAAGATAAGGTGACCATAGGTTCGTGGATTTATCTCTGGGCTTTCTATTCTGTTCCATTGATCTATATTTCTGTCTTTGTGCCAGTACCATACTGTCTTGATGCCTGTGGCTTTGTAGTATAGTCTGAAGTCAGGCAGGTTGATTCCTCCAGTTCCATTCTTCTTTCTCAAGGTTACTTTGGCTATTCGAGGTTTTTTGTATTTCCATACAAATTGTGAAGTTATTTGTTCTGGTTCTGTGAAAAATACCGTTGGTAGTTTGATAGGGATTGCATTGAATCTATAGATTGCTTTGGGTAGTGTAGCCATTTTGACAATATTGATTCTTCCAATTCATGAACACGGTATATTTCTCCATCTGTTTGTGTCCTCTTTGATTTCTTTAATCAGATACACGTGCATTTTAAAAGCAGTATATTTGGAAAAGTGTTGTATACTATGTGCAACTCACATTCACACACACTTGATTTCTTTGAAAATGGAATTAGAAGTAATGAGTTTTAAGTGTGTTTTCTTTAATGGCTTTGTGGGTGTTCTTGCAGGAGTGAGAAATACGGGGAGTCCGAAGGGTGTGGAGGATGCTAGATTTCACCCAGGGACTGGGAGGACCGGCCCTTCTGGCAGACTATATCATTTGATTTCTGTGTGATGGTTTATTGGGGCATGGCCGCTATGTCTACAGAAACACAAGTGGGAAAACTCGAGTGGCTGTGATAAGGTTTCTTTAGAAATATCTGGAATGTGTTTGGTGAGTGTGTTTATGCTACATACAGATCGGGGAGGGGAGTTCTTGTAGTCTCTGTTAATCATGAAGCCACAGGTTGCAAAGAGAAGCTCTCGGAGGAGGAAGGTGATACAAGAAATATCTCCTGAAGCTCAGAGTATGAGCAGCAGCAACTGAAATTTATTTTGACTGGCATTTTATTCGTAACCAGCCAGAAGGAAAAGATGAGGTCAGCAAGAAATTATTGCAGATTTTTAAAGTTAATTTATCCAGTCCAAACAGACAACTCTGAGAAACACGATCCCTGTAAATGTGTTCAGGAGAAACGTTCTGTATTTGCTCTCAGAAATGAGCTGTGTTTTCAGCTCTGATTTGTCTTATTATCCTCATATTGGTTAATGTAAATGTAAGTGAAGGATAATTCTGAGAAATGGTAACCTTGAGAGTTTCTTGAAAACAAATTTCAACTGAAATTGCTTCTGTGTCTTTGAAGATGAACTGGCAATTTAGAGCAGCGGATAGTAATAGCCGGTGTTGGCTCTGAGGTAGAGAGAATTCTATTAAAGCCATTTGCTTTTTTTGTAAATCTATCAAATTCCACCTACTGAAACGTTAATAATTATTCCTGGACTTCCTTTTTTTTCCGTATATGGAATTGGTGTCCTTGACAACAGTCAGGAAAATAAGACTGCTTTCTATTGTTCCCTTAAAATACCCAATTTGGGGAGTTTACTGAGTCAAGTTTTCTGTGCTGAGATGCTTCTGGTTCTGGACTGAAGGACACAGCTCTTATTTCTTGGAGAGGAAGTTCTTATAAATGACACATGACAAGGGTCACTTGATATGTTAATGCAGAGAGTGGAAGAGTTTGCTTTTGGCTCACTGCTCCAGAAATGTTTTTCTCATCTGAAAAGTAACTTGAATTCTCTGCAGAATTGACTTCACATGGCAGTTGTGCAGTGAGACAGCCATAGAGACTTTATGCGTCCTTCATGCCCCTGTATAGGCTGATCTGGAGGAGAGAAACGATCCTTTTGTATTTAGGAAATGTATCCCACATAGCTTCCTATAGTTCTTGCCTGCCAGAGCAAATTACTGTTATCCTTTCGTATATTGAAAGAGCTGGAAATGATTTTACAAAGGAGGGATGGTAAATAACTATGAAATGTTAGTCTTGACTTACATAATGGGACGGTTGTGGCAGTTGGTTTACAAGGAAAGTGAACCGAACTTTAAATGTATTTTTAGCCTATTCTTCATTGATGAGAATAGTAAGTTATTAAGCATGTTTTATTTGTCTTTCTTTGCCGGCCCTTCCAAGCACTTTTGTGGAGAAGGAAATGGCAACCCACTCCAGTGTTCTTGCCTGGAGAATCCCAGGGATGGAGGAGCCTGGTGGGGTGCCGTCTATGGGGTCGCACAGAGTTGGACACGACTGAAGTGACTTAGCAGCAGCAGCAGCCAAGCACGTTTTATTTATTTATTTAAGTCTGCGCTGGGTCTTCGTTGCTGCGAGCAGTCCTCCTCTAGGTGCACAGTCTTCACTGCAGCGCGGGGGCCTCTCCTCGCCGTGGTTTTTTTTTTGTTGTTGTTGCAGAGCACAGGCTCTGGA